GTTTAGTGACTTTATATGTGATTTTTATAGAAATTTCTTTGTTGAATATGATAAATTATGAACATTGATAGATATAATTTTAATTATTTAAATTTAAAATATATTTAAATGAAACTGCTCTAATTTTTTATATATTAATTATTTGATTATATACTTTTAATATTAGTTTATTAATAAAAATAAACTCTTACAAGTTTACGATCCAAGTTCACATTATTATCACTAGTTTGTTTAAACTCGCGAGTTTGATAACCTTGCATGCAAATCTTAAAAGCATATTGTAAGAATCTATATTGGCCTTGAAATATCAGTCGTTGTTGAAAAGTTTGCAGCCGAAGAAGTTAGAGTCTTGTGATACATTTGTGATACATAGTGTATATATCTAATGTAGAAAAGGCACAGTGTATGTGATATAGTTTTATATTATTCATTTTTTTATGTAAAATTTGGACATTCTACTATACTTTTATATATGACCCTTTGCATGTAGTAATAGTTCTAGCATAACTCAAATTAGGATTAATTCATATGTAATATTAAATAAAGGATCATTCTCAAACACATGTAGGTTTCTGAGATTGAGAGATTGATAGAGAGCTCATATCTTAAAAGTAATTAATTAAATATTTGTTTCCTACAAAAATGAAATTGTTTTCGAACATAAATGAATTTAGAATGATAATGATTGTTTAGAGGTTCAAAATAACTTTACAAAATCACTTTTTGGTTGGGTTTGGATGAACTGTTCACAATTCAAAAATCAACACATGTTCAAAGCTACCAAACCCGTAGGACCAGATTCTGCATTCTAAAAAGTTCTTGTTTTTCTCAAGATTCCCCTGAAAAAAAATTGGGGTCAAAAGAAAACAAGAAAATTAAAGAATTATTAGGATAATTGATTATAAGGTCGAATAAAACTAAATTTCATTTAATTTGTAATTTTTCTTACCTTTTTGACAAAACACTTTATAGTGGCTGGCCTTTTATTTTGATACATAACTAAAATATTAGCGCATATATTAATGACTGTTTTCCTTTTTATTCTCTCCTAATAAATTTTAAATATTATTATTGTATGCTTTATTATTGAAAATTTTTAATGAAATTGAAATGATCTTGTTTTGGCATATGAATATAAAAAGTTTAAGCATGAAAATGATTTCAATGGCGACAGTTACTTTTCAAATATTGATATTGATATTATCATTTCACGGTTCATTCAAGCATAAGTTAGAAAAAAAATGAAATTAATTTAGCCATTATTTCTTTGAAATAATTTTTGTTTCAACTAGCATACAATGTGGTCTCATAGTGAGCCCTCCAATATGTAACGTTGGGATTCTGAGTTAAAATGTTGGTATAAGAAGCATAAATAATTACTGGGTTAATACAAGTTTTGGTTCTTCAAATTTGCCTTAATTTTAATTTTGGTTCTGGTTCCTCAAGTTTATTTTTATTTAAAATATTAATATCTATAATCTAATAAAAACCTGAACTATTTTACTTCTTAAGGGACTAAAATTTATGGTTTGAAATTTGAGAGATCAAAATTAAAATGAGAGTAAACTTGAAGGATCAAAGATTATATTAACTCATAATTATTTTTAAATTTCTTATACATTAAAAATGTCATTTTCATAATTAATGATTTGCTGTTATGCATTCTCAAGTGGGCTTACTTAGCGTAAGGCAAGTTGAGTAATAGATTTAAAAGTTTTTTTTTGGGTGATAATAACAGACCTACAAGTTTGATATTATATTGAGGCACTAAAAATTTCTTGAAGAATATAATAAAACTCTCCGAAATTGTTTCTGGGAACTAAACGCAGGTTAAAAGAATTAAACTAAACCTATATATATATATATATATATATCATTATGTGATTGGTTTTTCTCTAACTTTACCATATTTGATGATATTCACTCTATTTTTATTTCATTTATTACTTTCATCATTAATTCTTTTTAAAAGAATTTATTTGTCCATTGGTAAGTAAAGTCCTATACTGATAATATCCATTTACGAAACCTCAAAAAAAAAAATGCAAGGAAACATCATTTTTATTTATAAGTTGAATAAAATACTAATCAAAGTTGGTTCAATCGAGTCGTTGCTTCCTTTTATTAGTTAAATAATGTTTTAGATCCGAGTCCTGCATATGAAGAAAATTATCATTCAATTAGATCATACCACTTATATGGTTTGATTTAACTTAATTTTAATTATTCAAGGTGTAATGTCGCCTCTTAAAATTTGTTGGTATAACCAAAAATTTTTTTAAAAAAATGAACAGCATAAATATACAAAGCTAGACTATTTTTTTTAAAATAATATTTATGCTACTTCTAAGTATAAGAATTAGATAACTAATTTATGAATATTAAAAATAAAAAATAAATGTGTTTTTTCTTAGATTAGTCCTTTAATAATATATATAATCAATAGATAAAATTTGAAAAAAATTTATAAATTTAAGATCATACATTGTATGAGATAAAAGTAAATTGGGATCTTATATTTAAAACCAAAATAAAAATCAAACTAACTCTTATATTAAGGACCAAAGAAAGTATAGTGTAAATTCATTGAGATCTTACACTTAAAATAAAAATAAATTTCTTAACTAGCTCTCACACGTTTAGGATAGGAGCACATTTGTGTGTGTTGTATCAATATTTTACCAAGTACAGTTAAAAAAGCCTTGTTTCAGTTTGAATTAAAGTTGTTGGGGCTGTGGTTGGGGCTGTTGGGAAATTAGTCAATGACATAAAGTTCTTCACTTTGATTATAGAATTATATATCCTAATTAATTAATTAATTATCATAATCAAACGAAAGTAAATAGGTTTGATTAAAAAAGGGCTATATTTTATGATTTAGCAAATCCATGTACTCTTTGATCTTTTTCATTTGTTGGCCAAAATTTACTCTTTGATCAAAGCTAGCATGAATGGCGCTCAACTAATGCTTCAATTTGCATTATATTTTTAATTGCTGAAATTTTCATCAGCAAATATAATTTCATTGATTAAAAATAGGTCAAGGTACAAATTTATTTAAGAAGTTTTTCACTTAATATCCCGAAAGTTTTTTTGGAATTTAACGTTATCCTATAAGTTTAAAATTATAGTAATGTTGTATCTTATTATTAAAAAAATAATATTGGTTATTTAATATTGACACTGATTATTAATATTTTTAACCATAAGGATAACGTTGCATCTTAGTCCACTAGATAAGAATTAGCCGCAACTTTTAAAAGTCATGCATAAATATTTTTGTAATGAGAAAATGACCCGAGTCAAGCCCAAGTCTTGGAAAGTGACGTTACAATTCTGGTCCAATTGCCGTTGAACATTTGTGTTTGCCTTTTCTCCTTGCATGGATTTAATCACTTTCAAGAAAAACTAATCCTTTATAAAACAAAATATTGTTCAAAAAGTTGAAAAATGGGGATTTTTTCCATCTTACCTCGCCATACCAAATTTGGACCAATCTGAGCCAAGTTGTAAGGTTGAGATTTTAGTGCAAGCCCATCAAACATGAGAGACTTTTAATAATTGGGCTAAGTTAACATTTGAAGTTTCTTTCATTTTGACCTCCAATGATAAGATATAAGTCCAGCATGACAAAATAGTTGAATTTCCCTTTGTAACGTTAACCTAATTTTATAAGAAATACTTACTTGTTTTTTAAAATTTCTATTTTATTTTAATATATTACCTTTTGTTTTATTTTGATTTGCTTTAAGGAATGCTGTAATAATGAATTCCATGTCACTAAAGAAGGTATATTAATAAAATCTAATGATCTTGTTCTCTTTTCTTCAAAAAAATTGGTATTTAAGGAAATCTCAAATATAATTTCATTAAGAAGTTAAAATATTTTTAAATAATATTTGAAATGAAATGAAAAAGATAAATAAATTATACTTTTTTGGAAATTAAATAGTGGTGGAGTCTGATTAACAATTGAACGAAATAAAAGTGATTTCATCTTTTTTGAATATTGAAATGATAATACTACGACAAAAGTGCACACTTGAGTTTATTTTTCTTTCTTAATTTTTATAAGGTGTTTTTTTAAACCTTTTGACTCTTAATGCTATTAATGAAAAATGTGATATATTTTAAACATTGACTAAATATTATTAACTACTAACATGTTAAATTCAATTTTAAAATAACGATAATTTTTATAAAAATTATCATTTGGAATTGATGATATTAGGGTTAGATTACTGAAAAGATGCTTTTTAAAATTAAAGAAATAAATTGAAACTTAGTGTAAAGTCAAAAAAATAAAGGTAAAATTTTGCCTAATTACTCTTCTAACGTTATTTGATATAATATTAGTATTAAATTACAGTGACAAAATATTTAAGAGGACATCCTTTACTTCAGCATTTTCCTAATTCAAATTTCTATAATGGAGAAAAAATTAAATTTATTTTTAATTTTTTGAGTTATCCTTTAATTCAAAATCAAACTTTGTTTTTATTTTTACTTTTACTTTTAGTTCTTTTAAAATTAAAAATATAAAAGTTAAATTAAAACTTACAATAGAATAATTGTCGTCAAATAAAAATAATCTAATCTTGGTATTGTTAGCAACAAGATTCCCTCAAGTCATTGCGTCTCAGCAAACCATTTCTTGCAAAGCCAAACTTCAATTCTCAAAAGCTAATAACTGAACACACACACCCTGCACGCGCGCGCACACAGAAAACGTAAACATTAGTTACATAGAGGTAATATATGCATCATATGGCAAAATAACGGGTTCGTCCTTTTGAGTAATTTTTGTCCCTCCACAGAACCATAGGATCATGGTGAAATCTCATTTAACAAAATTTCAGTTCATGCTTCTAATTCTGAAACTGAAAGTTTTGTTTAAGAATCTAAATTAAAACTTAATTGGCTCAAGAACAACAAAAACAATAAATATTACTACCTCCGGTTTTAATTATAAGAGCGAGGTCTTATAATTAGGACCGGAGGTAGTATATCATATCCAAGCACTATATTTTAAGAATTATCATATCTGGCATTTTCTGTTATACTTAAATGAGCAACATATAACTTGCAAGGCATGATGAGCTCAGAACCACAAAACAAGATTGCAGTGAACGCTGATTTCATCGAGTTTTCAGTTTGTTTCTTGCAAGGCATGACAAGCTTCCCTTCTCTCTCTAGTTTTACTTCCATGGTTCATCTCTGCCCTAACTATATAGAGATTCCTTTTCAACAAGCCTATGCTGCAGAACAGAAGTGATTAGATCAGATCAGAACAGAATACACAAAGCCAAGTGAAGAAAAAAGGCCTTATCTGTGATGGGGATCAAATTCGGACTTGGTGATTCTAAGGAACATGATGAAGAGAAACTCCCACTTCTGCTAAACATGGTGGTGCCGGAAGCCGAGAGGAACCTGATTCAGAAAGCCATGAACCAGACATTCCAGAGCTCGGCTCATTTAGCCAATCTATTGCCTACCGGTTCGGTCCTTGCTTTCCAGCTTCTGTCACCAATCTTCACAAATCTTGGAACCTGTGACTCTGTGAGCCGGTTCATGACTGCAGGACTTGTAGCTCTCTGTGGAGCCTCATGCTTCCTGCTATGCTTCACTGATAGCTTCAGAGACAACAAGGGGAACATATGTTACGGCTTTGCCACCTTCAGTGGCTTGTGGGTCATTGATGGATTTACGACACTTCCACCTGAACTTGCGGCAAAATATCGCCTAAGGTTTATAGATTTCATGCATGCAGTAATGTCTGTACTAGTATTTGCTGCAATTGCAATGTTTGATCAGAATGTGGTTAACTGCTTCTTTCCGGAGCCATCAAATCAAACACAAGAGGTCCTCACGGCATTGCCTGTGGGCATCGGCGTTATTTGCAGCATGTTGTTTGTTGTATTTCCTACAAAGAGACATGGAATTGGCTTTCCCCTTTCCACAAATTAACAGTTTGGAGTTCCTTTTTGAATCTTTGTATGTTGCCTTTTGGAGCCACTTTCAGGAATTTGACAGGTTATTAAGCTCACATCCACAAAGCTATTTTTATGGATTTGTATGTTGGAGTAAATTATACAATAGTCAGAAGACTTGTACAGTATAGAATGCATTAGAAGGTATAGAATATACAACCTTCTGATACACTGTTGTTAGAAGAATTCAATATCAGATATTGAAGATTTTATGGAAGCTCTGAGGTGGACAAATCCGCTATGCAAGAAAGCATTGGAACCTGAAATGTTCGTGAAATTTTTGTAATTTGCATGCCACGTTTAAGTGACTCAAATTCAAAAGGCCTGTCGTAGGAACATTTGAGAAATCTACAACGGAGATGATATGCCTACAAAGTTAGAGAACCCATGTTTCAATCAGTCCTATCTAAGAATCCCATACTTCAAATAAAGAATTCAAATCCCAAACAAACAAACTATTAAAACAAAATGAGAATAATCAATTATCGGAAGACCAAGGGGAAAAAAGTTTTTTTTTTTTGGGACATAATGTAGGCAGTCATTGATATAGACTAATACAAAGCATTAAACTTAATCTCCCTCTTATTCTGAACAAATAACCTATTTGAAAACAAAAAAAAAAAGATCAACACCGGCTCTTCCTTCTGGAAAGTCTACACACGCAGAAAATATCTGAAGAAAAGAAGGCAGTTTGGTCTTCTCCAAGAAAGCCAGGAACATGCCAAAGAGAAGAATGCACTCTCACTCAGCAAATCAAAGCGCATTCAATTCTCAAAGGCAACAAGTATACCATGCAAATGCAATACAGCCTGCCATCATATAAAGTGACGCACTGGGCAAAGAATGAGGGGAACAACCTGAGACCTCCGTGCCAAAGTTCAGCTCTCCTCAACTAATCTGGGAAACATTGAAGGAATGGATGATGGCAAAAGAAAAAGGAATGCGATAGAAGGAGGAACACTGGGGATTCAGGAAGGACCACTGGCTAAGCAGTATATATCCTACTGTCTATAAAGATGAGTTGATTCAAAGGTCTAATTGAGTACTGAAATGATTTGCAGTTCAAAGGATAGTACAAATTTATAAAATTATAATCACAGGTGAGGATACAAAATCATTGAAAATGTCACATGGGGACGAACATGAACAAAGCGAAAGTTATGTCAAAAACAAAATTCATGAATACGAGACATTACTTCCCCTTTTATTTTGATTGTAGCTAACAAAAGTGCTCCTTTTTGTAAGCCAGAAAAAAGTGGTTTCTGGAAAACCAAAGGGCTTTTTCCAAGTGCTTGTCCATTTCTGAAAAGGTTTATCCTAACACACCTACTTACTTTTATTTACTTTTTTAGAAATATTTCCTCCTTCAAATTAAGCTAAACCAAATAAGCTCTATATCCTGCAAAGGACCAGAAAATAAGGATGATCTCTGTTTCACAACTATCTAATTTCCAATTAACCATAGAATCAAAGTACTATCACTTATATGAAACAAGACAATAATATGCCAAATGCTACTTCAACTGAAACATTAATGTTGGATTGTCAGGGAAGTTTTACATAGATGGGATCCTACTTAGATACACAGAGGTAGAATAAGTCTCCAAATATGTATCTAGGGTGGAGCAAGAGGAAATTATGGCTTGGCAATGAGAAGGAAAATATATTACCTGCGGCAGAAGCACAATATGTCATATGATCTGGGAAGGCTAAAACCACGTAAGTTACAATGAGAAATTGATGCAGCAGCAATGAAAGGTAACATGCTCTCCTTCAAGTTGAAGCAGAGCTTCACCTTCAACAAACTTTTTTTTTTTTTTTTAAACTTTTTTGGGAATGGGGTGTAAAGCAGGTGAACCTCTAAAACAGTAATGCTAACAGACGACAATTTATAACAAAGTGTTTCAAATCACCATAAGCAGGCTATTTTCTCTCCTTTCCATTTTCCGGTTAAATTTATAATAACAATTTGGGCACATCTATTAGATCCACTATTAAATACCACATCAACATGAAGAAAAATCACCCAAAGTCAGCATTAACAATCTAGATATTCCGTCATACTTGAAATTTACAAGGCATGGAAAAATTACTTTCACATGAAAACAAGATGAAAAGATGCCACCATTAAAATTTAGAGGACAAATTTTGGAAAACGATTCAAAATACTAAGGACAGCCTGCAAAGTTAAGATGAATTTGGCAATCAAACATATGTGGAAAAGGTGTTAGATTGTGCGAGGAGGGCACTCATACTTTTAGCTCTAAGTACCAATCAATCCAAATTTGTTAAGTAGATCGACAGAGATGAAGATGAAATGGAAGAACATATTAACAGATATGGTCATCTACGCTAAGATTTTGTTTCACGTGTTATCTAGTGGAAGACAAGTTATTGAAGCCATAAATAAACCCATTGCAAATCAATTTATTCTCCCCCTGCCCCCTCTCTCCTCCACTCCATGTCCAGTGTGGCCATGCTTTGGGGAGTGGCATTCATTTTCTTATCTAGCAAGAATAATTGACTTGTTCAATTTTTTGTTATTGGATGAATACAACAGAACCATTTAAAAATATCATGTTAACCCTAAATTCAACATAATAAAAGAGAAATTCTCTTAGGCCATAGAAATAGAAATCCATAAATAAAAAACTTCAACAACAATGCAATAATTGAATAAATGAAGAACAAGGGTGAAAAACGCATGCTTTGATTTAGGAAATTTACAGCGCCTGACTGAAAAGTTTACAGTGCATAGGCAAAGAACTTCAATCATGAGTAATGGCTTTGAATGAAGCAGGAGACCGCACAAATCATAGAGCTTACCTTGCCCAACGACTCTAGCAGATACCTCCCTCCAAGCAGGCTCATCACCAGAGTTTTTAAGGAGGTTGGGAAAGAAATAAGAAAGTGTCTGCAAAAGAAAAGAGTGAATCTATAGGCAAGAGTTGGTCACAAGGGAGCCCGCTTGAAAGTCTTGCATACCCAATTCCTCAATTTGAAGCTTTATTTACAAATCATGAAGGCTCTAATCATCACTTCATCAGGAGACATTAACCATTGGAAAAGAGAGAAAAGGGATCTAGGAGTTAAAAAGCATGTCAGCTTATGCTCAATGAGAAAGAAGCAGATACAGTTAGCTTGGGTCAGCAAGAGATTTGGTCAATCAAAATTATACAAGCTAAAAATAGAATAGTATTTTAAGGAAGAAAAAACGTCTAAGATCACAAGATCAAGTAATTAAAAAGGAATACAAACATTTGTATAAAATTTAAAAATTTTATGACTTCTAGAGGCATATCCTAGCAAAGAATTGAATTACGCAACTAACTCAAAGCATTAGGGAAATAACTTGTTTCTAATTGCAATCTATATGCCACGATTGTCATAAATGCCTTCAGCCGCCTTTGCGCAAATATGACAAGTCATGGAGGCGATTAACAAGCTTTCTGTTCAAACACTTTCCATATCCCTTAATTCTGCGTTTTTTCTCCTTTCCCCAGAAGGGAAGGAGAGGATACTGCTAAAGGTTTTAGTGAGAATGCAGCAATGGTCATATACCAAAAGTTTATAAAGATTCAGCTTTGAGGTTCAACAAAGTCATGCATCAGCCCAGCCAGCAGGAGCTCAGTAGCTTCTCTCACCTTCTTTCGATCCCAAAGTCCACTCATCACTGCATTCCAGATTCCCTCATCTGGAACACAACCGTCTAACACCATCTCATCAAAAATGCGAGCAGCTTTGTGCTCGTCTCCTTTCTTACTATAGCATTTAACTAAACACTCAAAAGTGCCAGCTTCAACAGAGATACCCCTAGTGCGCATGCTGAGATACAACTGAAAAGCACGTGTTGGATCAATGTTGTTGCATAGGCCTTGGACCACCATGTTATGGATTTTCACATGACGGACCCAAGTTACTCGGTTAGGTGAGACACCACTAAGCACCATCTCATCGATGAAGTTTGCAGCTTCCTGATACCTGCCTACGTCACAGAAGCCACTTATGATTTTCCCATACAGCCCTGCATCTGGCTTTAAACCTTGAAGCCTCATCCTGTCTAGAACCTCCACTGCTTCACTAAGCTTTCCTTCACTACACAGTCCGTGAATTAATGTACTATAAGTAACCATGTTAGGCAAATGATGTTTTTTGACCATCATATCTAACAGCTCCTTTGCTTGAGAAGATTGACCACCTTTACATAAACCATCCATTAGAGAACTGTAAGTAAAAACATTTGGTTCGATGTCAGTTCTTTTCATCTCCTCAAATAATTTCATAGCTTCATCCACATTATTGGACTGACACATTCCACGTATCAAGCAAGTATAGGTAACAACAGAAGGTGCAAGGCCTTTCTGCCTCATCTCATAGAATAAATCCTTTGCGTGGGCGATTTCTCCCTGTCTACACAGCCCATTAATCAAAGTACCGTATGTATAAGAATCTGGTGGGTATCCTCGATCTGGCATCTCACAAAATATCCGTAAAGCAGCATCAATTGTTTCATTTTTTTTGCACAGGGCTTTGATCAAAATATTCAGAGAAACAACACTTCGTGGAATGCCCATTTCTCTCATCTCCCTATAAATACTAAGCGCCATCTTTAAATGGTTTTCCTCTACTAGGATATCAAATATTGTAATATAGGATTTTTGGGTGGGTCTTAACTGAAAGTCTACCATCCCACGGAAAATCCTGATGGCATCAAGGGGTCTATGAACACGTCCATAAGCTCTGCAAATGGTTAATAATATATCTTCCGTGACCGTACAATTTTCTTCCTTCATTCTGTGAAGCATCCCTTCGGCTGATCTGAACTGGTTCGCGGAGGCTAACCTACAGATCATGAGACCAAAAGTATTGTGATCATGACGGAACCCATTATTATACTCAGCCGTTGCCGAATCAAATATCACAAGAGCTTTATGTATGTCCCTTTCTGCTTTTATTAGCTGCTCAACTAGACCAGCTGTAATTTGCTTCGGCCATTTCATCAAAATTTTACCGCCCATGATCCCCAACTTGCAACACTCAGCAGATTTCAGAAACTTCTAATTCCAACACCTCACTAGTCACTACAGGCATCTTGAAGCAATAAAAAGCTGCAAGGAACAAAATATCATACCGTTTCTCATAAGAAGACCAATGTCTTTTTCAGCTTCTCCTGTACAGTACTACAACACGACGAAAGGATCGTGATATTCTATCGTAATCATTAGGTACACTCGAATATCGCTAGGGAAATCACATTATTCGCAACTCTCTCTTATGCGTGGAAGCATCTTCTCAGCGTCTTTGAATTCCACGTTAACTAGAGCCGTCGGACCAGAATCCTTCCACCACCCGAAAGCGAACGAAGAAGATAGTAACTAAACCCACTCTGTAATAGGAAAATTAAAACTTATTTGAATTCGAAGAAGATAGTTAGTAAAGTATACATTGAAGTGACAAAGAAGTGAATCTGGAAAGCGAACGAAATAGACTTGTTGGTCTTGGCCGCTGTCATCACCGCCGCGCCCGTATCAGATTGATGAGTGCGTGTTTGGCTCAGTCAAGGCGTGGGAAATCCGCATGACGGCACCGTTTGGGGTTTTTGTGTTTTCTTGGGGGGGGGGGGTTGTTCGCTTTTTTTTTTTTTATTAAGTTCAATTCAATAAGTTTATAATATTTTAAGATAAAAATTAATTAATTTAGTATATCGAACTAGGAGTGTTCAATTTGTCCCGTCCTCCCGTCCCGGTCTCGGTGAGTTCGGGATGGGACAAACAAAATTTCGGGACGAGACAAAAATGGGATGGGACAGGATGCGGGACGGGGTCGTCCCGTCCGGGATTTTTTTCTTTTAAAAATTATTTATTAATAATTATTATTAGATTATTCAATTTACTTATTAATGATAACTCTTGTTTTTATGGTGATTTGTAGCTCTTAAATTGTAGTATTATCTCAAAAAAATCTCTTTTCTTAATAAAATAATTCACAAAGCCTGATTGAATTTTTTAGTGTTGTTTGGGAGGATTTATCTTATATTGGGTTTATTAAAGTTTAAGATGATGTATGTTAGGAATAAGCCAGAAGAGGGAGCTTATTTTGAAATCTAAAGAGCTTATTTCCACCTGTGGGCCTGTACTCACCCCAATGCGACAACTTCAAAAGTGACGCACACTACCATCCTTCCTGCATAATATACACACACACATATATATATATGTATGGGTGATTAAAAACAAACAAATGTTGGTGAGAGTAATAATAATAACAAGAAGTAACATTTTAGACCACCTTTTCCTTTCGGTTGAGGCCCATTTGTTGCCAACGTATTTTCAAATATAAATCACTTTGCTGTGTTTATATATACATGTGTTTAAATAAGAGGAAGCTTATTCTTCAGTTGCTTTTTGTAATAATTTTTTCCCATTCTTCATATATTCAATAATTAAATTACACTTCTTCATATTAAATTATTTTAAATTCATTATATTATGTAAAATTATTTTTTTAATCACGTTTTATTATTTATTAAAATTCATACCCATTTTAGTCATTTTACAACTAAACTTACTTTTATTCAACTATAATCCAAATAACTTTTTACCAATATCAATTGTGTAAATTAACTTATCTGAACCTCCAATCTAAACACAATTCAACTTATCCAATTTAACTTTTACCTAACTTTACTTTTCCATAAGCCAAATTAACAATAAATCGCTAATCCAAACAGACTCTCATGTTTAATAACTTGGAAGAGAGAGAGAATGTGGGACTAGGAGTGCTTTGATTGTTTTTATCCATATTTATAGAGTCACTTATTTATGTTATCAAAGTGACAATGTGCTGCGGAATTAGCACTCTGCATTTCAGTTTTTTTCTATTATTAAATGATACATATTTAATAAAATTCATCTTCAGTTATTTTACAATTAAAAACAACTCTATTTTTACAAATTAGCTTATTTAGAAAATACTTAGGTCATATTTCTAAGAAATTTACTACTCTCTTTAATTTTTATTATAAGCGATAAATAACTAATTTGTAGATAACAAAAAATTAGTTAAAATTAATTGAAAGTAATAAATAGGTTATAAATATATTTTAGATTTCAACTATTCTCTTATAATAAAATTCATCTTCAGTTATTTTACAATTAAATTATTATTTCTATTATAATTTAAACAACTCTATTTTTACAAAGTAGCTTATTTAGAAAATAGTTAGGTCTCACCTTTTAAAAACTTACCACTCTCTCTAATTTTTATTATAAGCGATAAATAACTAATTTGTGGATAATAAAAAATTAGTTAAAATTAATTGAAAATAATAAATAGATTATAAATATATTTTAGATTTCAAATATGCTCTTTAAATGAGAAAATGTAAAAAAAAAATATGGGAAAATGTAACTAGAGAGTATAGCAGAAGAGAGATGATAAACTATTTACATATATTATTTTATATCTGTTATAAATAAAGAAGAAATAGAGAGAAGAATCATACAGAGGAATAGAGGATTAACAAGAGAGAATATTTCTCATTCTATTCAAGTGTGCTCAATACATTATATATGGCTTATATTTATAGGCACAGCTTTACACCTTTGATAGAATCTATAGATTATATAATAATATGATATAATTGTGGGATATAGAGATAATAGGAGATATTAGAGATTATAGGAGATATAGGAGATAATGGGAGATATATGGACATCCACAAAGATATTATTATGTTCATAACACTCTTCTTTGGATGTTCGATATATATGAATGTGCCTCGTTAAAAAAAAAATTCAACTAGAAAAAACCCTATGGGACAAAAACCTAGCAAAAGAAAAAGAGTACATCATTCATTGATACACTATACAATATTGCCTCATTTAAAGTCTTGCTAGGAAAAACTAGTGGGACAAAACCATAGATAAGGAAAAAAGAGTACGTCGTGTATCAACTCCCCCTTTTAGCAACATCAATTGACATCTTCGAGCCTGCAAAGTCTAATATAGTGAACAACCCTTTCAAATATTATAATGAGATATAAATGTCAAATATGAATTTCATGATCTTCTGAAAATCATGAGACGAATAGTCCTTTTATTGTTTACCCACACGTGGATCATACTATGATCTCTTGACATGAGGATCAAACAAGAATATTTTATCTATATAGCCATTAAGATTAGTCTTGGGTACTTTCAGATAAAATAATATTACCTCCACGATATCCTTAAAGTAATGAAGAATATTTTTAACTCCATTCCAATATCTTTATGTTGATAAAGAACTATATTATGCTATTTAGCAAATGATAGCTCAAATTCTGTATGGCTAGATAGATATATAAATGTTTCAGTGACACTAAGATATGGTACTTCTGGACCAAGTGTTTATTCATTACCTTCTAGAGGTCTAAATTAATCTTTTAGTCCATATCTAAACATCTTGTAACTACCAAAACATATAATGGATGTTGCTTATCCATATAATGAATGTGACTTATCCATATGTATTCTTCCGAAGGCTTTTATTTCAAATTTTTTCTTTAAGTAATTCACAGCTTTTGAAAACTTATCAAGAATTTTGATACTATCATCATAAATAGTACTGATAACAAACTCATTTTGAATCTTTTCATAAATAGACAAGTTGGAATGTATTTACATCATTCCTTCAGTTGATATTAATCACATATGCCTCATATAAAGACTTAATTGAATAATGTTCTTGAGAACATAATTGTATGCTTCTGAAAACTCAAATCCTTCAAGGATTTTCATACATTATGATCCAGATCTCTTCATATATTAGATCGTTTGAATTTATACAAGAATTTGAATCCTTCTAGGATTCACATATAATTTCACTATAAAGTGAGTCATATATTATAGTTATATATTTTTAAGACACACATGAAAATTTTTTATTTATTACTAGACTGTCAGATTGATAAGACGTAATTTAATCCACCACAAGGCTTTATTTCTCTTTATATTGTACAAAATGCCTATTTATATAATACTAGCATTACACTTCAAGTGCGTAGGCTAGGAATACACAGATCCTTGTTATATTGTGTCTTTTTTTTTCTGTTGGCCAACCATTTTTCTGTCTATATCTCATGACAGATTTATATATAAGATCCTCATTTGATCATGTGATGTCATCAATAAAATTATTGGGGACAATTTTATTCCTTTATCAGTCCCATTTTCTTTTATGACTTAATATATCTAGATCTTTTTATTGCTTTCAGATATCTAAACCTCTTCAGGGGTCAAATAGTTATGTCTTAACCTCTTTTGCAATTCTTGCCTCCTTAGTATGATCATTATGATTGTTTGCTCCTTTTTCTTTTCTTTTGGAACCGATCATAATCTCATGCTTTTAGCATGTCTTTAAGAATAGGAGCACTTTTAGTTAGAATATAAGAATTAAGAATTCTCATTTGGATCAGTAATTACATTTGGCAGATATTAAGAATATTTTATGAATGTAATACTTTATGAACTTCTAGTTCATACTATTATATTTGAGGATCCACATTTGATAGTAAAAATGCATTCTATGTATTCTCTTTTCCAGCTATACATTTTCTTTCCCTCATATTGGAAACATGCAATGTAGCTCTCCCAAATCCATAAGTCTTCTTTAAAAACATTATTTTGTTTCATTTAGAGACAAATAAGAATAAGGAGATTCTTATCTAACAGTGATCTCCTCTCATTTTTAATATTCATCTATGTGAATTATTGTGGTGGAATAATAGATATTGCACATTCTAAGATGAAAAATGTCTAGCTCTTGACCAAAAGCCAATTATAATGGGAGAATTCACAATACATTGTTGGCTTAATGCATTTATGTGCAAACTATATAAAATCAATTATCCCAACACTCAAACAGGAATTCTGTTCTCATAAACTCTGGTCTAGCTACTTATGAAGGCTTTTACTAGGCATATAATCATCAGTAACGTGAGGAACAATCACCAACAATCTCAATGAGAATCATATTGATTTCATAATCAAGAACTTATGTGCTCGATATAATTATCTGAACATATTTACAAACTTCAGGTTGCAAGTTGATCATAAACACTTATGATCATTTTATAGATGCATCTTTCACTTATGGAGTATTACTTTGGTTCACATGGTGTCTAAATAGGCCCATATATAAAGTTGATACATTATAAATATGCACGGATCTGATTTTGAATGTAACTAGTAATGTTCTCTTATTAGTTCTTTTGAAAACAAACAATACATAAAAATTCTTGAATCATATATCATTTTTAAAGAATCTTCTGGTTCTTTAATAAATAAAAATGCACGTTTTTTATGATATTTTGCATTGTTATGATCTGAGATGATCTAACCGGTTATGCCAAACTATAAATACATAAACTTTTGGTTTATTATAAAATTATTCTCAATTATTAGTAAACTTCTTGTTACCATATCATATTATTCATTTTTCACCTTAATATT